CTTCTCTCACAGCTTCTCTCTGTTCAGAGGGCATGTGAATACCACACCCATCTACAGTGAGACTCCTGAAAGTACAAGAACAAGTACCAATTGCCACCTCAACAGTACACCGCTGACAATACAGAACAAATCGAGATACCATAATCCCCATCCACAAAATAATCCGTAAACTAGAGAACCAAGAGGTAGTCAGCAAGACCCACTCACCCTTCAACAGCCCCATTTAGCCTGTACGTAAATCTAAAGGAGAACGGAGATTGACTGTAGACTACCGTGCATTAAATGAAGTGACTCCAACGCTAAGCGCTGCTGTGCCAGACATGCTAGAACTCCAGTACGAGCTGAAGTCCAAAGCAACAAAGTGGCATACCATCAATATTACTAATGCATTTTTCTCCATTCCTCTAGCAAGAGAATGCAGGCCTCAGATTACCTTCACCTAAAAAAGCGTGCAGTACACCTAAAACTGACTGCCCTGGGGTGGAAACACAGCCCCACCATCTACCATAGACTAATCCAGACTGCACTAAAAAAGAGTGAGGCTCCAGAACATCTGCAACATATTAATGACATCATTGTGTGGGGGAAGACAGCAACAGAAGTGTTTGAGAAAAAAAGAAAATCATCCAGATTCTCCCAAAAGCCAGCTTCACCATCAAGAAAAGCAAAGTCAAGAGACCTGCTCAAGAGATCAATTTTCTAGGAATGAAGTAGCAAGATAAACAACATCAAATTCTCACCAATGTCATCAACAAAATCACAGCAATGTGTCCACCACACAACAAAAAAGAAACACAAGCTTTCCTAAGCACCATACGTTTTTAGAAAATGCACATTCCTGAGTACAGCCAGATTGTGAGCCCTCTCTACCTGGCCACGCGCAAGAAAAACACTTTCCACTAAGGCCCTGAACAGCAACAAGCCTTTGCCCAAATCAAGCAAAGGATCACTCATGCAGTAGCCCTTAGCCCAATCAAGACAAGACCAGATGTGAAGAACATACACTACTCTACAGCCAGGAACCATAATTTATCCTAGAGCCATTGACAGAAAAAGCCTAGTGAGGCTTGAAGCTGATCACTAAGATTTTAGAGTTGAAGCTACAAAAAGTCTGAAGACAACTATACTCCAACAAAAAAAGAAATTTTAACAGCCTATAAAAGAATCCAAGCCACCTCAAAAGTAACAGGCACTAAAACACAACTCCTAGCACCCCAACTGCCAGTGCTAGGGTGGATGTTCAAAGCAAAAATTCCCTCTACCCACCATGCCACCAGTGCTACATAGAGCAAATAGATTGCTCTCATCACACAGCGCACCCGTATTAAAAAACTGAATCACCCTGAAATTCTAAAAATAATTACAAACTGGCCGGAAAGTGAAAACTAGTCTCGCTGATAAAGAAGAACAAGAAGTGACATGTGCTAAAAAAGCACCACCATATAACCAACTACCAACAGAAGAAACACAACACACTTTTTTTACTGATAATTCTTGCCGCATTGTAAGAATGAAACGAAAGTAGAAAACAGCTATATAGATCCCCACACAACAAGTCACAGAAGCTACAAAAAGATAAATCAAGCCAACTTTCTGAACTCAAAGCTGTTCAACTTGTTATGAATAAAAAGTTATCTATTTTTGTTTAAGGTTGCAGAGTTAAAACCAGTTGGACCAGTTGCTATTAAGTTAGCTTCATTGTTAAGAGTTCTTCTTCAATTACCTGTTAATGGTTGGTGATTACCCATTGTCCCCCTGGTGCTTACCAGGGAGCGGCATGGGAGTGGCATCAGAGCTAGTATGCAAATGAGAAATGCATTGCACCAAATCTTACAGTTTTCCAGGAAAACCCCTAAAAACAACGAGCCAACATAGAATTAGGGGACCTAGGCGATGTCTAAGGATGGGCGCGTAGTCCAGTGCCTGCTTGGATCCTTTTTGCTTCTCACCCTAACCTGAAAAGATGTTAACTAGGGAGAGGACCCGAAGTGTTGGACCGAAAATGAGGAATCTGCGAATCTCTCGTGAGGACGCAGTCCCCAGCTCTGCCTGCAGACCAGCAGACAAAGCTGCATCATCACCCTCCTCCTTCGTGCCACTCCTGGGAGCAGTGGCGGCGTGGGCGCGACCCGTCAATTTCTCCCCACCTGAGCTGATTCTTTTTAATAAAGGCATTAAAAAGGAGAAAGATCTCCTGCCCATTTATTTCACAACTGACCCTAGACATGACAAAAAAAGAGAAGTAGCCAAAGCTCTACCTCTACACTGATTCATAGATAGTAGCCAGTGCTCTGTGGGGATGGCTAGAGAAGTGGAGACTAATTAGCAGCATAGAGGAAAACCAGTTTGGGCTGCTAATGAGTAAAAAGACATTACTACCAGGGTAGGGAGGCTACCAGTGAAAGTCTGCCACGTAAATACCCATGTCCCCAAAAGTAAAGCAAATAAAGAGCACCAAAACAATCAGCAAGCAGACCAAGCTGCAAAAATTGAAGTATCAAAAATAGACTTAGATTAGCAACACAAAACAGAGTTATTCCTAACTCAATAAGCCCATAATACCTCAAGTCATCAAGGTAGAGATATCACCTCTAAGTAAGCATGAAACCAAAAAGTGAATTTAACCATAGACAGTATTTCTCAAGTTATCCATGACTGTAAGACATGTGCTACCATCAAACAAGCCAAGCGAATAAAGCCCCTATAATATAGTGGACAGTAGTCCAAATACAAGTATGGAGAAGCCTAACAGATTAACTACATCACACTGCCCCAGACACGCCAAAGCAAGTGCTACATACTCACAATAATAGAAGGCACCACGAGATAGGCAGAAACCTACCCTGTGCCTCATGCTACAGCCCATAACACCATCCTAAACCTTAAAAAGCAAGTCCTTTAAAAGCATAGTACCCCTGAGAGGATTGAGTCAGACAACAAGACTCATTTAAAGAACAGCCTTATCAACACCTAAGCTAGGAAACATGACATTAAATAAGTATACCATATCCCCTACCATACACCAGCTACAAGCAAAGTAGAGAGGTACAATAGACTATTAAAAACCACCTTAAAAGCATTAGCTAAGAAATCTTTCAAAAATTAAAAGCAACATCTGGCAAAAGCCACCTAGTTAATTAACACCCTAAGCTCTACTAACCGAGTGGGCCCTGCCCAATCTGAGCCTTTGCATAGAGTAAATGTCCCAGTAGTACATGTCAGAAGTTTGTTAGAGAAGACAGTTTAGATCAATTCTGCCTCAAGTACAGACAAACCCATTCATAGAATTGTCTTTACTCAAGGACCAAGTTACACATAGTAAATAATACAGAAAGATAAAAGAACACGATGTATACCTCAAAGAAATCTGATTGTTGAGTAAAAACTATATATAAATATCACTGTTTGCTGAATGTTACTGCCTTTGTCTGCATATAACTGTATATTAGATGCATAATATATATGTTTATAAAGTTAAAATATATATTTAATTTAGTAGTAAGCTAACAATATGGGGATAAGGGGTGGAATGTCCTGAGTTAACTATATAATACTTTTATCCCCAATCGTCTGTTCTGTTTATGCTGAATAATAAGTTTTACACCTTTAAGACTTATTCCAGAGTGTAAAGGAGAAAGAGAAGAAGCACGAAGTTTGTTTTCAGACACTACACTCACTCCTCCACATTCCTACTCCTAGAATATTGTTGTCTACAGATAAACAAACAACAAGATAAAACTCTCCTTTGTTTTAGTTATTTTTAGCTAACTGAAGCAAAAAAAGTTCCCTAATCTCTAGGTTTTTTCCCCTTTTCTTTAAACTTGTTTAAACCTACTCTAGACTAAACACCCAAAAAAGCACCAGCAGCTCACACCTGTAGCCCACCGGGCTGGGCCTGGGCTGCAACATTTCCAGCGCCAGAGAAACTGATAAGAGACTGAGTGAGCCAAGCTACAACCCAGGGAGGGGACTTTTCTGAGTTTGTCATCTCTTTTAAAGCAAAAAGAAGTTTTATTATTTAGGTTTTGTTGTTTAATACAGTTTTTTCCACTTTTCTCCAAAAAACTATTTTTTCCCAAACCAGTTAAAGGAAGAGCCAATTAAATCTGCTTTTCTAGAAGAACCACTTTAGGGATTCTCTCCCAAATTTGCCCTAAACCAAGACACATGCTTATTTCTCCCCTTGTAGAGTGAAGCAGCTTGTCTTCCTTATAAGGGCATCAAGTATTAATATTTGTGCGGCAGAACATACAGACAGCTCAAGAATTAAGGCTATCTACTTTCATTACATATCTGATGATGATTTATAGAAATGCAGCATAAGTAGCTTCCAACAATTATTTCTGTAAATACAGAAGAGAAAAATTTTGCTCTTCCTATGATTACTTCCCATTAGAAGTCCCTACCCCTAAGAAGTTAGCTAATACAACTCCCCTTTCCTGAAAGACGTTCACAGCATCCCAGACGATATTTCCACACCACCACACCCAGTCGACATCATTCAGAATGTAGCCCCGGCCACCACCCTTTAGCCACAGCATCTGGGGGCGAGGGTCCAGTTAACAGCCCGTGAAAAACGCCTTCTCGCGGTCGCCCCGAAAACACGTCAGCCCTACATCACTCTCCCCAACCCCTTTCCCACCACCCCCGTCGTTCCCCGGTGCTAGGGCGGTCACATCCCAGTGACCCACCGGGCTCGACAGATCCGGCCCGGCACCACCCCCGACGAAACTCAGACCCCATCCCCAACACTCTGAGCAAGAAACAGAGCAGGACCAAGCCCGAACTAAGGCGGCAGTCCAGCCCCAAAACGCCCCACCACTCCGATCAGGCCTCAACGTTCACCTGACTCCAGCCCCAGAGGACCGGCCACCGTCAGGCGACCGTAGGCGGCCGTGTCCCTCAGCCGGCAACACACCCGCCCAGCGCGCTACCCCCGCAGCCCGACTGGACCGTGCCGCTCCGTGGAGCAAGCGAGAGCCCCACTCCCTGCCACTCACCTTTGACTTTGCCGAAGGTACCGACGCCGAGCGTGTCGCCCAGAATATAGTGCCCAATCTTCACGCGGCTGTGCTCGTGCTTCTGTTTATCTGCCGCTGCCGCCGCCATCTTGAGCCTAGGGTTGAGCCTGCCCATAGAGCGCGCCTGCGCCGCAGTACTAGCGGGGGAGGAGCAAACAAATAACACTCATCAACCCAATCTGGAAGTGATCTCAGCACTTATCACTTTCCTGCCCTCCCCAGGGACAAATCCTTGCTGTTGGGTGGGGGAGGGCTGGGTCGGCTCAGTGGCACCCTAAGGGGTGAGGCTTCTGCAGGTGGGCCCTGCCGGCAGGGCATAACGGCGGGATGGAAAGAACAGCCCCCGGAAACTGTGGGGCGGAGTGAGGGGGCCAGGGTGTTTTTATGCCACCTTCCCTGGGAAATACTGGAAATTCGAACAGATTTCGGAACCGGGAGGGAAGGCAGGCGCAGAGCACTTCTCAGTTCTCAGCGGCGGTTCCCCTCAGCGCTGGCGCGATGCAAGGAGCTGACCTTGGCCTACCAGCGTCAGAAGTGGCACCGCCTGGAAGCTTAAGCTCCCTCGTGTTGCTGGCTAGCACCGCAATCGCCCGCAAGGCCTGTGCCTGCAGGCAGCAGGAAGCTAGGGCTAAGCGCTCCCCACAATACAGTTTGTCCTTCCTGATGCTAAAGTGAGATGTGTCCAACATAAGCATACTTTCAATTGAGAAATTGTGATAGCACAATGAGATTGCTAGGCTGTCTGCATTGTCACAGCCACAGGGTGCTGTGCAATGTGCTGCTGCACACTGCAAGGCCTGCCTGTGGAGAGCATACAGCAGCTCTCGCTGGGGTGGTGGCTTGTGTTGATTTGCACAGCCTGGTTTTTGGTAGCAGGGGGACCACAAAGATGCCTCCTGTGAAAAGCTGCTGGAAGCTTCCCACCATGTCCAGCAGAGCCAATGGATGATGGCTCTGAAGAGGGACATGCTGCTGGCCAAAACTGGGCCAATGAGAGATTGGTAATGCCTCTGTGATGGCATATTTAAGAAGAAAATTAAAACAAAAGTCACGGGGTTTTGCTTCTAGTTAGAGAAGAGGAGGGGGTGAGAACATGTGAGGGAAAACAACATGGTGACACCAAGGTCAGTGAAGGAGGAGGGGGAGAAGATGCTCCAGGCGCCAGAGCTGAGATTCCTCTGCAGGCTATGGTGAAGCAGGCTGTCCCCCTGCAGCCCATAGGTCCACGGGGGATGCAGAGATCCACCCACAGCCCATGGGGTAGGTGCCCATGCCGGAGCGGGTGGCTGCCTGGAGGTGACTGTGATCCAGTGGAAGGACCCAGTGGAGAGAGGGGGCCCTTGCTTCCAGGCTGGAGCAGCCTGTCCTTGGAGGACTGCACCCTGTGGAAGGAAAGACACACATCGCAGCAGTTTTGGGAGGACTGTGGGGGGGGGGGGAAAGATGTTTTTAAGGGCTTATTTTACCTCACATTATCCTCTTCTGTTTCTGTTAGTAATAAATTTCAATTTGCAACCTTAAGTTGAGCCTGTTTTCCCCTTGAAGTGTTTACTCCCGATCCTTAACTCAGGAATCCCTCGTTTACTTTTTTTCCTTTTCCCTCCTCTCCCTAGCGGTGGCAGGGGAGGGTGTTGGGGATTAGGTTTCTTTCCTTTTGTTCCTTTTTACTAGTAGAATTTTTTCCCATTAAGTTGCTAGGAGACACTGACAACTGGGTACTTAAGACAACAAAGAAGTGGCCAAAGCCTCAGGGGAAGAAGGCATCTGGTTGCATCTCTTTTTGGGAGTTTCTTTTCGAGGGGCAGAGATACCTGAGAATTGGGCAGGTAAAGGGGCGGGGGCATCTACTAGGCACTCTCTCGTTCTCTGTTTCGGAGCAGGACGGTCGAAGCTGCTGCTTAGGAAAAGGAATTCGCTGCCACCGCCATAACCCAGCCCGGAGCTGCTGCTTCTTCTGTGGGGTGAGCCTCTGCTCATGAGAGGAGCAACTGAACCTGGACCTTACTATCACCTACCTCACTAAAAGAGGGACCTATCACCATCTGCTCGGGTGCCCGGGAATCCTGAGCTCGCCTCTCCCTGCCCTGCTGGGAGCCGGGCCGTCGCTGCTCCGCCCCTTCTTCGGCACTGCTCTGGGTTTCTCCACGCTGTAGCCCCGCACCCCCTCCCCTGCCGGGACGTCCCGCAGTTCCAGCTACCGCCGCGGAGCTTCTGATACATCTCGTCCACCACCCCGGGATTTTTGCTCATTCCTGCCGTTCCACCTTGGTGCTTCTCAGACTCCTGCTGGGGCATCGGGATCGACTGCCCCCCGGGAGTCACCAGCGCCCCTGCCGTCTGTGACCGTAACTGCACCAAAGGGGAAAATGCCTGTGGCCGAGAAGGCTGTTACTGGGTTTGTGGTTCTGGTTGTTAATGCCATAGTTGTTGTATTTGATTTGCCTTGTTATACATACTAGTAAAGAACTGTTATTCCTATTCCCATATCTTTGCCTGAGAGCCCCTTAATTTCAAAATTATAATAATTTGGAGGGAGGGGGTTTACATTTTCCATTCCAAGTGAGGCTCCTGCCGTCCCTAGCAGACACCTGTCTTTCAAACCTAGACAGAAGGTGAGCGAGCGACTCTTGTGGGTGCCTGGCATTGGACCAGTGTCAAAACACGACATGGCTGAACACCCACCTGCAGACAGGGTTTCAGGCACTAATAATTCAGTGTGTTGCATATGGTTAAAAAGCATTTTTTCTAGTAATAATCTTTAATATGATTCAGAGAACATTCAGTATTACTCATTACAGTCATGAATTTAACAGAAAGTTGGAAAACAAATTTGGATCCCTGAAAAGTCTTTGTGTTAAAGCATCCCCCTAACCTAATGGGGCAAAAAATTAAAACCCATCTGTTCATTACTATGGAATAAAAAATATGAAAGCTCTAATAAGAAATATGGTATGAAAAAAATTTCATAAAACATATTACAGACTGTGTATGGTAATAGTTCTGTACAGAAACACAGAATTTTAAGGGGTTGGAATGGACCTTAAAGATCATCTACTTCCATCCCCCTGCCATGGGCAGGGACACCTTCCACTAGACCAGGTTGCTCCAAGCCCCATTCAACCTGGCCTTGAACACTTCCAGGGATGGGGCATCCACAGCTTCTTTGGGCAACCTGTTCCAGTGCCTCACCAGCCACACATTAAAGAATTTTTTCCTAATATCTAACTCAAATTTCCCCTCTTTCAATTTGTACCCATTACTCCTTGTCCTATCACTGCAGTTCCTGATGAAGAGTGCCTCTCCCGCTCCCTGTAGCCCCTTCAGGTACTGGAAGTTGCTGTGAGGTCTCCACAGAACCTTTTCTTCTCCAGACTGAACAGCCCCAACTTTCTTAGCCTGTCTTTGTAAGGGAGGTGCTCCAGTCCTCTTAGCAACATCATTGGTCCATCTCTGGACTTGCTCCAACAGTTCCATGTCCTTCTTATGTTAGGGGCACCAGAACTGTACTCAGTACTCCAGATGGGGTCTCACAGGAGCAGAATAGAGGAGCAGAATCACCTCCTTCATTCTGCTGGCCATGCTCCTTTGGATCCAGCCCAGGATTCTGTTGGTTTTGGGGCTGCGAGCACTCACTGCTTGTTGGGGAAGATGAAACAGGAAAACCTTATAAATATGATTGCCTGACAAAAGATTTTAAGAATATGGAAACTATAAGCAAGATTGAAATGAAAGCAAGCTTTGAGATACCTTAGTTACTGAACAACTAGAAAACAATGGTATGGCCGGCTGAAGGTAATCCCCTTTTGATGAAACAATATCCTCTGCTTGCAGACAGGTCCAAGGGTCAGAGCAGACCCTACTAGCTTGGCAGAAGGGGCCCAAAGAGTAGTTTTTAGGGTTTAAAATGTAACACAGTATGGTAATGTAATGATTCTTATAGGCTGTATGTAAATGCTATAGGATTTGTATCTTGTATTAGATTGGTTAGTGAGAATTAGAATATTCAACACAGAAGATTTATTGTATTGTAACGGGAACCATTGGTTCATTCTCTTCATCCTTTCTTTACCACACTCTTGCATTCATTCTCTCTCTCTACCACTCTCTTTACCTCTCTCTTTCGGGCCTTGCTCCGAGTTGCGGCTGGCAGCTCCAAGCAGGGCCCCTGCACCCACGCCCTCTGCAATAAACTGCAAGTCCCAAGACCTAGCTTCAGAGATCTCTCGTCTGCGTTTGTCCCGACCATCCTGACCCCCAGCAGCTCCTACAGTCTGGTGCCCAAACGTGTGTGAAGGGCCAGTTCAGCTTTTCCAGCTGTGGGAGACTTCTCCATGGACGGTAACTAAAAGACCAGTTATAGCTGCCTGAAAGGTGTCGTGAGCATGGCATACCGTTGCTGCGCAGCGTGAAAGCTGGAGCTCTTAAATTTTGCCGAGGCACACCTCGAGCATGGGGAGTCGTTACTACGTAGCGATTACCTGGAGCTCTCGGAGGAAATTGCCTGGCAGTCCTCGAGCACGGGTGGCCGCTGCTGCACAGCAGCTCCCTGGAGCTCTTTGAGGAAGTTTGCCGCAGCATCCCTCGAGCACGGAGACGTTGCTAAGCAGCGCCGACCGGAGCTCTAAGGAGGGACCCTGCCACGTGCCCCGAGCACAGGCGAGCGCTACTAAGCACCGCCCGCACTGGAGCTCAGTGCAGACCCGCCTGCGAGGTCCCGAGCATGGAAAGCCATTGCCAAGCGATGCCTAAAACCGGAGCTCTGAGGAAGGACCCAAACGCAGCGTCCTGAGCGCCGACAGGAGTGCCTGGCCAGCCCCCCACAACGGAGCTGATTGAGAACCCTGCTTCTGCGACATCGAGGTTGGTAACACACTGGTCTAATAATGGGACAAACTCACTCTGCCCATGACAGAGATCGCTATAAGCAATTAAAGCATTTATTAAGTTCTAGTCCAAGCAAACTACCGAAACAGGAGCTAAAAAACCTCTTAGAATGGACTTTGATTAACTTCCCAAATGCTGACCGTTTAGCCGTCTTTACCAGACTTTTGGGACACAGTTGGAATTAAGCTCTTTAATAATATCTCCCGCTGGGATATGGCTGCCGCGGAGCTGGTCCCAGCTTGCAGGGCGCTGGTGGAGCTGTTTGCTGCAAGGGCGCTGCCGGCAGCAGTCGTCCCGCCGAGCTCCGCTCCTGCTGCGAGTCTGCCCCTTGCCGCCGCGAGTCTGCAAAGGGGCACGCCCCCCACATCCCCGCCGGACCTGGTGGCTCCGGTACCCGCGGTCCCGGTGACCCCTGCCGCACCCCGCCCTCACGTCCCCGACACCCGTTTCCCCCGGCCCCAGCCGCCCCACCAGACCCCACGGTCCCTCCCACTGCTCCCGCCATCCCGTTGGTTCCCGCCCCCGGTTCCGCCACCATCGCGGCCCCGCCCCTCGCTTCCACCCCTACGAGCCCACCCACCAGCGTCACCGCGGCCCCGCCCCCCAATACCCCCGCGGAGCCGGCCGTTCCCCCTCTGCTACCCGCGAGTGCGACCGCTCCTCCAGCCACACCTCTTATGGCCGTGGCCGCTATTATAGCGGGCCCTCCGCAAAGTCAAGCAGCTACCCTTCTTCCTGCTCC